CTGAACGAGACGCAGATTCACTCTCTGCCAGCAGGTGGCGCTTAAAGCGTTTCCTTGGTTTCCGCTGTAAACAAAGCAGCGCTACAGTTATTAATTTTAATATGCATTATACAGAGGCAAGAGGATACCATCGAAAGACAGCAAGTTCCCCTCAGACATGCATTCATATAAACTCCTACCCCTAATTGAATCGCGATTTGTTTAGCATCTCAACCGATTTGAATCATCACATATTTAAATCGATTTTCAACCGGCTCGCGGTTAATCGTTACATCCCTAGTTGGAGGGTTTAAATAAATTATTTAGTCAAATACATGTTTAGTGCGCATATATTTAATTGTCGAGGCATGTGAAAGGTGTAATGTGTGGTGTGTTTGTGATTGAGTAGAGCTTCCTGGTGTGGGGGATATGAGATGGTCGGTGCGTGATGAAAAGCCGGAGCCGGAGCTGCAGGTGGAGTGGACTGCTGTCCCGTCTCGTCCTGCCGGCTTACATCTCTTCCATTACCTGCTGGAGTGGGTGAAAATCCCCCAGAATGTGCATCAAACAGAGCTTCAGGCGGGCTGGCAGAGAGTCTCCTGCAATGTCACCAACACCACACTAAACGGTACCAACTCTACATGGAATCTCTCTACATATTTATTTATTTATTTTAATCTGCTGATTGTTGGTGGAACATCTGCAGGATGAAGTTAAAAAGAGTAAATATGTTAAGCAATAAACCCCGTGAAGCCGTGGTTTACAGTGAATTTATAACAGCTAAGGGGGTTTTCTCCACTTCGTGTCGTGCCTAACAACGCCCCTTAGCTGTTATAAATTCACTGTAAACCACGGCTTCACGGGGCTTATTGCTTTTATAAAACGGTTACTGCATATACGTAGTAAGGTTTCACAAAATAAAACAAAGCAAATAAAGTGTAATGATATTAATATAAACAGTATTCTTCCACCAAACAATGTAGTTCCTCAGAATCAGTTGTGGTTGCAACAAAGTGGTTGCCGAGCAACACACAGAAGTAAACAAAGGTGTGTGTTTGTAGAGTATTTTACAACAGCTTCAAACACGGCTCAGCCAATCAGAATCAAGGACCGGAACTCTCCGTTTTATAAACTGTTGTTGGTAGCTGAACGCTTGATCAAATGAGTCAAAAAATTGTTCAGTTTGACCATTTTATTTAAACATCTATTCAGTCTGAAGAAAATTTTGTTTGTAGAAGTTCTAATAAAAATCAGTGTTGCGTGTAATGCATTACTGTAATTTAATGACTTTTCCCTTGAAAAAGTAAAGTAAGGGATTACTCTTAATTTTTCTGTATTTTAATTATAGTTACTTCTGATGTAATTATAGACAATAGAACAATTCTATATAAAAACAATAGTGGATTAAACATCAAAATTCAACGCGTTTTTAATGTAACTTTATCCCTTCAAGAATAATTTACGCAATTTTACATAATTTATTTGAATGAATTAAGAGTAGTTTCATTACACTGTTGAAGATATAATTAGTAGCTAGTGATTACTTTTTTTTTTTTGAGTAACTTTCCCCAAACTGTATATAACAGTGCCAGTCAGTAAACAACTTGTTTAGTATGAATCAGACCTGTTTCATACGTCTGTAAGCGGGAAAGTATTGCATCTGTATTTTGCAGGCTGTTTCGCAAAGGAAGCGCTGCAAGTTTTGGTGTTGAGTCTGTTCTTGGCTCAATGCTAAACATTAAAGTACATTTGCAAAATATAAATGTGATTTTAGAATATAATCCTAATATTGGCCAAAACAGTGCCAAAAAATGACATTTTCAAATCATTTCAAACTGTTATCAAAGCAGATTCTGAATGTGGTGAGCCAGAAATGACATTCTTTTCTGTATAGAGCCACAGGACTGTTATAGAGCAGAAGTGCTGTCGGTGTGAAAGCTCAACGGATGTCTGCAGTCGCAGTTTCACTGTGAAACCAATCTTTTTGGGAGCAATGTAGGTGACCAAATGCCTTTCCCCCTTTCCCAAGGTGATTTGGAGAAATTCAAGCGGTACAACATATCAGTGTATCCAATTTACAAGTATCATGTTCGACACACGTTGCAGACACACTTCCTAGCAGGAAGACCAGTAACCAGACCAGCCTACATTCAACAAGGACGTATGTATCTGAAAGTTAATGCAGTGTTCTCATGTACTGAAGTACTCTCGTATAACAGCGCTGTGTTGTTTTTTTATCTAGCTCCAGAAAAGGGTCCTACTGTCACAGTAACCAAATCCAAGAAGAACAGTGCCGCGCTGACGTGGGAGGAGATCCCACTGGACAGACAGCGGGGATTCATCACCGACTACACCATATTCTATGAGATCAGGAACACTAAGCAATGGAAATGTATGTTAAACATGATGAATGTGTGATGAAATCCCTGTGATGATTTCACAAGCTGATGTTTGTCGAATGTTTTCGGCAGCTGTGACGGTGAGCCCTAATGTCCATTCATATGCACTGACTGATCTGGCCAGTGAAACTGATTACGTGGTTAACATCATGGCGTCAACTGTAGCAGGCTCTGAAAAAGGCATGGATTGTACGTTTAAAACCATGAAGTACGGTATGTCTTTTATGTGCATTTTTCTTCTGAAATGCTTGATGATGCATTGTGATTTTCACAAGAAGCGATCACATACATGGAGCTGCTTAAGCTACTGAAGGATGTGACGTGTGCTGGTGCTTTGATGTGAGTTTGCTCTCTTGACTGTAGGCGATGGAGAGGTGGAGGTGATTGTAGTGGTGGTTTGCCTCAGCTTCCTGTTCCTGACCGTCTTTATCATAATGCTCTGCCTTTGGAAAAGAGAAGTGTGAGTCAGTGCTTTTCACCACTCAAAATGAAACACAAAGCAAGAATTCAACTTTAACCCACCACCACTTCGATTCACTTTGGAGAACCCTTGGTCTGGAAATACTTACACAAGATTGGCTAATAGTGCCTAATTGCCTAACCATAAACTGTGTCATTGTGCACACTGTACACAATATAGAAAATAATGAATTCAAAACTAGTCATGTTTTTCACTCATTTTAATTTTTCACTAATTGAAAACAACAAAGAATATTTTATCATTGCCATTTATATTACGCAATACAATCAATAACAATACAAGCAGATTAAATGAGAGTTAGTATTTAAGCATTTCTTTATAATAATAATTCTGTTAGTACTGACTGATATGTTGTTCCATGCATTTGACAAATATCTTCATGCAGCTTTTGTTCCATAAAACAGCAGTTCACATCTGTCGAGCTCCCAGAAGGACAAAAAAAATAAATTTTATCCGTGGAACACAAATGAGAAGTTTAGCGAAATGTTCATGCTGCTCTTGTAGATGTAATGATTGTGCATGATAACCAGGTGCTGTTTGGCATTCAAAATGACAAAATGCACCAAAACATACCATAAAGCTAGTTGCTATTTATTGATAATCTTCTCTGGCGAACCTTTGGTTCTCATTCATCCTTGAATGTTTCAGTATGGCAAGTCAAACCGTGTCACATCACGTTTGATGTCCATGATACCAAACATAACTGATTCCTGCTGTGGATGTCCTGTAACTGATCACTCAATATGTGCACATTCACCTACATGCTGTAGGTGTTTATTTTAGAGCAAGAGTCCTGCACGCTAATTTTATTATACTTTTAATAACACTTTTTGTCACTGCTTGACAGTTCCTGGTCACCATTCGAAATATTGAAGGATTGTGAAACTAATGACATGATCTTTAAGTAACTAGCACCAAATGAAAAGTGCATTTAAATCATGATGAAGTTTATGACTTTGCTTAATTTAATACAGAAAGAATATTTTATGAAGATTGGATTGGTAAGATATATTACCTAACCCTACTTGATAACAGCAGTGAATGGTGTTAACTGTCATTATTTGCTCGTCTCTGTTCAGGATTAAGAAGCTGTTGTGGCCGCAGGTTCCAGACCCGTCTGACAGCTCCATTGCCCACTGGTCACCTGATTTCCCCATTAAGGTCAGTGAGCTGCAAGGCATTCAAATTATGGGTGAATCTCACAAAAACATGTCCATAAAGATTTCGTTTCATTATGAAGTTGTCATGACAGTTATGCACATAGAAACCCTCAAATTCTCTGTAATATATACAGTATATATAGTTAGCTGTTAATACGTATTATATGTGTAATGTATTTTGAAGACGTTTGACATGCCTCACAGAAAATTTCAAGGTCTATAGGTTTAAAAAAAAAGACAAAGATAGTGAGACTCATTTCATAAACGTTTTTTTTTTCTTATTACTGTTGTATGGCATCTAAAATAAGCTCATCGCATGTAGATAAAGGGATAGTTCAACCAAAAATTACAATTCTGCCATCAGTTACTCACTTTCATGTCGTTCAAAACCTATTAAGACTTTTCTTCATCTTTGAGACACAAATGAATATATTTTTAATGAAACCTGAGAGATTTCTGTCCCTCCATTGAAAATCTATTCACCCAAAATGTTGACACTTCAAAAAGTTCATAAAGACATGTAAAAGTAACATAAACATAAACCTTAAACATACATATAGACATTGATCACAGGGCACATAAAATAGGGTACATGTCAGTTCAGGCATACTGCTTAAAACCCAGCAACAAACCTTTCTTGGGTTCACCATATTTGATGCGCTCTTTGTATGTGTGTTGATCAATGTATCAATGTGAATAAAAGCCTAAATTAAATCACTTCGTCATATAAAATGATTGTGTCTCTTCAGAAGAATTGGATTAAACTGCTTCTTCCTTTAATTGAGAGACAGAAATCTCTGTTTTCAGAAACATCTCATGGGTTTGGAACGACATTAGTGTGAATAAACGATGACAAAATGTTCATGTTTGTGTGAATTATCCCTTTAAGGCAATATATGCAATAAGAATTGATTTTCAAACATTCAATTCATTATTTTTTTCCTCAAAATCAGTAATCGTTAAAAATCGGTAATGAACTTAACGAAACCAGAATGGATTCAAAACCAGATTCATTACGTTCTTTCATTCTTATTAACACTATTACAGTTATATATAGAGAGAGAGAGAGAGAGAGAGAGAGAGAGAGATGTCATTATCAATGTTTTACAATTTAAATTTCTTTTTGTTGTTTTTTTGCTTGAAGAAAATGATAATTGAGGAGGAATGTGCTTATATGTCATTTACAATCTCACAATGAAGAATATTATTGAATAAAAAAACCTTGTGGTCTGCTATGACCTGGACATGTTTGTTTTCATTGTAACATGACCACGTTCTTGTATATTGCAACACAAATCTTCTGCAGATACGATTCCGACCACATAATGGCATATTGCTCAAAACTGTATTTCCGGTCTGTTGGGTCGTTCTTATGGTCTGCTACACAAAGCTAACAGTATGTATCTGACCCTCTCAACAGGCCGATGTGCCCAAAGAAGACGTTAGCGTGGTGGAAGTGGACGTGTTTGACGGCAAGTCCCTGAGCGAGGAAGACAAAGCCGTGCTGCCGCTGAAGAAGGACAAGTATCTCTCTGAGGAGCACAGCAGCGGCATCGGAGGCTCGTCCTGCATGTCCTCGCCCCACCACAGCGTGTCGGACATCGACTCGGGCGACTCGGGCCAGACCACAGCCAGCACCGTGCAGTACTCCTCAGTGGTGGCAGGCGCCTACAAGGGCCAGACTCCCAGCCATCAGCCTCCGGCGTTCGCTCGCTCCGAGTCCACACAGCCGCTTCTGGACTGCGAGGAGCATCCCGACCATCTCAGCGAGAGCGGTGGCCAGTCCAGGAGCTCGTACTTCAGACGAGGCCGAGAACTCGAGCTGGGCGTCCTCGGCCAGGAATGCGATGGAGCCTCTCTTACTTTCTGTCCAGTGCAGGAGGAGACGTCTCCTGTCGCAGAGGATCCTCCCGCCTTATGTTACATGCAGCAGCAGAGCGGCTATCTACCTCAGTAAAATATTCAAGCTGATGCTGCCGCTTTGGAGACGGCCCTAAGCTACTGTATTTAGTGTCACCTTTCCACGGCATCTTAAAGCAGCACTATGTAACTTTTTCTGTGTTCAAATTTTGCAAAATGTATATAATGCGCGAGAACATCATGAATTCATCTTCCAAACCGCGTTTTTGTCTTATTCCGAATCACTACGGTACACTTATAATAAGTACTTATATTTGGACTATTGTAGCCTGTCGCCGCTGCGGAGTAACACATACCTGCGTGAATCGCCATAGACATAAACTTAGAGAAGTAGCTCCGGTTGGAATGTTCTTCCGCGGGATGTGTGCGGTTCTGTTTATTAACCGCTAGAGCGCCAAAAGTTACATAGTGCTGCTTTAATGTGCCTGCGATGAACTTTTCATTTGGCATTTTAATGGGATTGCAAGCTTCCGCAGACATGTATGGTAACACTAGACTGCTCCCTTTAAAAAGCTGTCCACACTGCCATGTGCCTTCAGAGGGAGAACGGCTGTTTGTAATATGGCTGCTCCAGCCACAATACGTTGCTGTTGTTTTGAACCATATATATGGTTAGTCGTAGCATTGTGTGAAGTACTGTAGTTTTCCAATGGATTTCCCTTTTCATTTTAGTATTGCTGATTTTTTGCCTCAAGCTCACAGCTGATTGGTCTGTGGTTCGTCAATGTGCAGCTGTAACGCTTCCAGTGTACACAGCTTCAATTTTGCTTGCTTCCAAAATAGGCACAGAGCTGTTTAGAAAACTATGAACAATTTGTTCCAAGGCGCATTAAGTTATTGACATGCTATTATGAATATTCATATTTTTAACAATATGCACCAGAATGTCAACCCGAGCTTGAGGTAACCTTGCTTTCATGTTCATTTCATGATCATTATCTCTGGGATAAGACTAACACTACATTGAATTGTCAGTTATTCATTGAATGCCTTATTACATGTATTCATGTATCCCTGTGTGATTTGTTTATATCATTGCATCACCTACGTGTGTATCACTGATACTAGGTTAAATACTTAATTCAAATGTTTCGTAGACTAGAAGCCTTATGGTTCGCTGGTGGCACCAAACAATCTTGGTGCAAGTCTGCTGCCAAAGGCCACACTGTGTTTACTATCTCCTAGTGAAGACTCCTTTACTAGTATCTCAGACTTTGTTTATATACCTTCAGTCTGTGGATATTGCTTGGATGCATTTCAATTCTTCTCTGATTGGTGAGTCCCATTTGGTGAGTTCATGATCATGGGTAATGTAGTACTTTGCCTGTAATTTGGCAAGGATATGAGGTTGTAATTTGTGTCCTTGGTTTAACAGTGTTTGAGAAATGCTGCTCTAAGCAATGAGAAATGAAACTACTGTAAAACTAATATGCATGATTGTGTGGTTCAGCACTGCGTGAATTAGACACACTGATTCTTATTAAAGCTACAAAAGTTATTCAGTCGAGCTGTGAGTGATTTTCTTTTTCTTTTATTGTTTTAAAAAAAATGGGAGGAAGAAATCAAATCATTTTTAGTCACTTTACAGTAGGGCTACATTTAAGCCACAGAAACATCATTGTTGTTATTATTCCTGTAAAAACACTACTATTTAAAACTTTAAATAGTATCCTCTCGCACAATGAATTTGTTTGAATTAAAGTTGTAAAAACGAACAGTACTTGAGTACCAAGTCGATGTGTTTCGTTAAATATGGAGCTGTTTTACTCAAGATGCCTTTAAAGGAGAAACTGAAGATAATCATAAGCGATGTCCATCACATATGCAACTTTATAATAAAAAAAATAAACTAGGTAGGTGAGCTGATCACTTTAAAAGTGCATCGATATCGCCATCAGTTCACACTGCTGTTAACCACTGATCTATAGAGAATATAGAATATAGATCAGTGCTGTTAAGTCTTTCTGACGAGACCTGATTTCCGGTTTGGTCAGGTGACCTTCAACCCCCATAGTAGAGCTCAGAACTTTCTGTTTAGAACCCACTCACAGTTTCAATTCAAGTGTAGTTTGTCATGCTGCTAGGAGGGCCGTCAGCAAGCTGCTGCAGGATATTATACACACCAGCCACTTTTAGAACTACATTTGTGACTGTATTTTTCAAACAAATGTGCAGTTTAGTAAGTTATTCCAATCTCTGGATTTTGAATCTTTGACTGAAAAGTGCCAAACATTTGTTTGAGTGCAATTCACGTGAGTAATGGGGTCAAATGATGATAAACAGAGCAGAGTTTAGTAAGCAGGATGATCTATAATAGTGAAAATGTATCTTAACAAGCTCAACCGATGCTTGAGAAACACCGGAAACAGAAGTGAGCACTCATGCATTGCAGCACAAGGCCTGACACTGAACTATGGAAACACAAGGGGCCTATCTCAAAACCCACACCTGCAGTCTAGGCCGCTTGAGAGTGCGTGCATGCAACAGGAAGTGCGTGCGCAAGACTGTCTGAGGTCTGAAAAATGGCTACGCTCAATGCCCTTAATGCACACTAAACCCACACCATCTCTAATAGCGCTTCAGAGCAGTATTTATCCCATCATTCATCACGTTCAGGAACTCCGAAATCACAAAATGTCAAGGAAAACTTGAATAAGATATCACATATAATTTGTGTAAAATGTAAAGTTTTGCACATTTAATTGATACAGAGATGTGTATTTTGTAAAGCATTTGCAACTTCTTTTTATCACTTAAGTAGAAGCACCACAATTAAATTGTCATTCATAGGAGTTCCTGATCCTGAAATTTAGAAGTTTATTTTAAAGTGCAAATTATTAAATGTATAAAATATGTAAATAAAGCTCTGTACAAAGTTTACTTGCATTTTTTACAACACTATGTTGTAAGTGTGTCCTACTGATCTATATATATATATATATATATATATATATATGATCTATATTCTCTATTATAGATCAGTGGTCCCACTGGTTAAATAAAGTTCTGTCAGGGCCACTATCGTCAAAGATGATTGACAATTAGCATACAGTTTGGATTGGCAGTATGGTTCTGTTCTGGGCAAGAACTCCC